TGCTGAGAGGTGGTGAAGAGAGGGAAGAGAACTTTACCAAAGGGAAACATGGCTGGAAGACTTGAACACAAACACAAGCATGAAAGCTTGGTGAATGATCTCCATCATTCACACGCCACTTTGAATAATTACCCTGCATACTTAGCACAGTTACTCTTCTTTACTAAAAGTGCCAGCCTAGGAAAGTTGGTTTTGGCAGCCAGGTAGGAGATACGCAGCTTGCCCTATGGTGAAGTTTGCCTGCGATCAGTTACAGCTGCAACAGCAAGGACAAAAGCTTTCAAATTTGACAAGGAAAGCCACTTTGGGTCTGCATAACATTGCTCTTCGTTTAAAACAGTGTATGTTCTCATTGTACATGGATCCTTCTTCAAGGAAGCTTTGAAAGGCCTGGAGTCCCCCTCAGCTGCACGTGGGGAGAGACCGAGCAGAGCTCCAGACAGGACACGTACCAAGCACGGCAGCACGGATGCAGCATGAGTCTGCCTAAAACTAGTCATGATGACAAGGGCCATCCTTCAGACTTCTCCATGTAACCCTTCCCTTGGGCCCCCAGCCTGGGGACACAGTCCCATCAGTAAGTTACCTGCTCTTTCCTTCAACCTGAGTAGAAGAAACCAACTTCCAGAGGTAAAACCCACATCAATAAATTAGGAAAGAGGAGGGGAGGGAAACTGTCTCATAAAGCTCACCTGACCTGATTATTACCCTTGCATCAGCTTCTGCCAGCAAGAAAACAGATGAAGTTTACTGACCATTCAGATGTAATCTACTTAGTACTATGCAACATGCTGATACATGTATTTTTAAAAAAAATCAATGCTGTACACCACCAAAATGAATCCATTAAACAAAGAATCCAATAACCAGGAGATACCAACAGTTACTGAAAATTCATAACCATGGGGGGAAGTTGCCTCTGTGCCAAACTCCATTCAGTATTTTCACCAATGATTTGGCAGAAGACAAAACCGGTACTGCTAAAGATAGCGGACTGGTAAATAATACAGCAGACAAGGCAGAGAGAGAGGAATCTGGGCCTGTCAGTGCATGCAGCCAATTAGAACAGGAGATGCAGTCATTCAGCAAAAGGCAAAGTCAGACACCTTCACCCATACCATTCAGCTCACATTTGGGTATGGACGAGGATTCAGAAGTCAGAATTTACAGGCACTTAATACTCCTTTCTAGTGTCACACTATGACCAAAAGGGATTGCTCTTTTGATCTACGAACTGGAATTAAGAGAATTTACCTCTCATGTGGCAATGATGTTCATTCTGTAGTTTACAGGTTCCTTTGGGCACTTGAGAAAGCAAATAAAGAGGGGAAAAGCTGTATACCACTTCTAAGAGATTCGTAAAAGTTATTGAAGAAAAGCCAGCTCTTAGGTGTTGGCTTAAATTTGCTTTGCAGGTGTCTGCACCTTCACCAAAAAAACATTAAGGGTTTGCAGATAAAAACGATGTGGATAACTTCTAGTATATGGCATTAGTATGCTCAATAGTGAGACTCTGCACATGGCTGGGGTATCTGCAGTTTACAAAGCAATACAGAAACACTGGAAAGGGCACAGGAAGCCACAGAAACCACCCCAAGAGAGAAAGTATCTTACCCTGAGAATCTGAAAGGGCTCAGTTGGCTTCATTTCTTAAAAATAACATCAGAGGTAAGGCAAATCCCCTCACAGGCAGGGACTATCAGTTATTAGAGGCCTCTTTAATCTAGCACAGAACAACCTAACAAACGAGTCGTTGGAACCTAAAGGCAAACTGAAAGCAAAGGTACCTTTCCCTCCCACACCCTCCTTTCTAGTTCGTTTTAATTAAAAAGTGCCAGAGGTAGTGCATCTTCCTATCTTCAGATCAAGTCTGGCTGCTCTTTCTCACTGTTATGCCTAAGTCAAATACATATTATTAGCAGATACAATTCAGGAGGCTCGGTGAGACACAAATGCCTAGAATATACAGGAAGTCAAACTAGATGGGTTTGTCTTTAAACTATGGATATGAAAATCAAGGCTCCAGCAGGTCAGTAAGGTCACAATAAGGTTGAGGGAACAGATGAGAATGGGAGAGAAGCATGGGGATTTAAGAGTTTCAGCTGCCCTCAGTATTAATGGCAAATGAGTTCTTAAAAAAACAACTTAAGAATTACAGTTAGGATGCTTTTTATGTTTGTCTTCAAGATTTCAACTTATCTTTTTTTCAAACCCCAGAGATTTAAGTTGTAACAAACGCAAAAACTCTTTCTGATCACTTGCATTTACAAGCTGTCCTCATTAGATGTTTTTTTTAACTCACTTCTTCCGCAATGACAGAAAACGTATATATAGCATTCAGTGTAAAGATGAAACTCAAGGCTACAGAAACCACGTGGTGGAAACAACTTTGGAAAACACACAAAGTTTAGGTGAGACAGTTCAGCTGCTGAGAGAAAGTAATATGAGTGACAGCTCACAGGAGAGTTTGGGGTTGAGGTGTATTTTCCACAAGGGTTTTGTCAATAAATGTTACAAGAGGTGGCTGGGAACTGGAAAAGGGATTGTTTGGTACTCCTCAGACACTCGTTTGAAAGCAGCAGACACAGAAAGGTGTTCCTGAGGGTTAGACTGGATAGTTTACGTTCTGAGTAAAAACTACTATTCAGACTACTGGAAAAGCCACTGAGTTAACATGGTGGTATTAAAATTATTCAGTAATCGTGAAAAGAAATCCAAAGGAACAGTATGCACCAGAAGGGCCTTTTGTTGCTCAGTAAGCCACATCAATTATCTGGGCATTTGATATAACCCTCCCCCCATAATAAACTGCCTGCAACACGGATGGCAATCATGTCTGAACAGTGTCAAAGTCCCAAAGCCAAAAGGTAAAAAAAAAAAATAGAAAAAAACCCAAAGACTTTGCTTTCTCTGCTTACTTCCATGGGAAATGAGTAAAACTAACCACTCCCTTCTGCAAAACCTCATCCTCCTAGCCTGTTCCACATACTCCCTCTCACAGAAACTCAACTCAGCCAAGGGCTAACAAGAGGTTTGTCCCAGACAGACCTTTTTCTTACTGTCTGCATCTTTATTCTGATGGCTGGGATACCACAGCATCAAGTTCTAATCATCCATCTTAATACACATGTGTACTCCACGTGGACACCACAGCCTAATATTCAGAGCAGGTTACAGACAAGCAAGCTGGGTCATGCTGCATCTCCAAAGATCGGTCTGAACAGCAGCACTTATGCTATCAGGCATAAGTGGTTTGCAGGCCAAGGCAAGTCACTGCATGCATTGGCCCAGGCCATCCAACACCAATACATGTTCACCAAACCTCATCTGTTCCCCAAGTCCCCCAAGAACATTAGGCAAAATTCCTCCTGCTTCGTCTTCCCCTTACACTAGAGCAGTTTGTAGGCCAAAGCAAGATTTCACGTGGTCTAAGTGCTCTGAAACTCCATGGTGATTTAGAAATGTCATGTATAACAGCATACAATTTCTATCTCCAGCAGACGGCAGGAATACAGCCCTGAGCAAACACACAACAATTCCAAACACATCGGCAATGTCCTGCTAGAATAATAAAGAATAGAGATAAGTAAAGCACCGAGACACCAGTTTTTCTTTGTTTGAATACATATATTGCATATGTGATTTTTTTTTGGCATCATACAGACCAGACCATGCATTTTGCTTTTCTTTTACAAAAACAACAAAACACATTAATTTCTTGGAGAGAAGAGAAACAGTTCTTACCCCGCAGAGCTCGTGTCAGCTGGGGCATTTAAAACCATTGAAATCACAGTGAGGAGATGAGACCCTGCAGGTAAATTCAGCAACACGCTTTCCAGAGCAAGGGTCCCTCCCTTTGGTTTTACTCGCTAAGCCTTAGCCTGGCTTATACCTGCCAGTCTATCTGCTCAACATCGCATCAGCCTTCACAAACAAGCAATAGCCAGGATGATCCCAGCCTGCTCTTGGCTTCCCCCTTTCCATCGTCATAAGATTTTCTGACTGCAGAAAGCAAGTTAGCTGCTACAGAAAACTTTAGATAAAGTATTCCCCATGCAAAAAATAATCCCCGAAACAGACTTTTAACCTGAGAGATGCAGACTTCAAGCCACTTGACGGATGGAGCGACTATTGCTTCATTACTAATTCAAAGACTCCTCTGCAGCTTCAGCATGCCCACATCTCTTGCCACTGCTTATCTTTGTGATTGAATTGTCTGCCTGTCTCTCTCCAGTATGCTAGCATTTTGTGAAAGCTTTCTCTTACAACTCTGACCCAAGAATGAGCAGTCATTCTGACAATGCAAGTCTTTTTCTAGTAGCAGACTATCTTCTCTCTTTCCAGAACTGGTACAATACCTCACCAACACTGCATATTACTGTTAAATCAGCAGCTACACCGATGATTTTACCTGTGAAACCACAGGTTAGATTTTATACATTTTTCTTAAGGCATTCATTTAGCAACAACCACCAAAAATTCAATGGAAAAAAAATATACCCTCTACATTGCTTCTCTTTATTGATGGTTCAGACAGGGATCATTAGTTTCAAGAAAAATTCAGTGGGAACAAGGCAAAGCCTCTAGTAAATGTTTTTCATTTAAAACCACCCCAACCCCCACCCCCTTTAACCAAAAGTCACATCTTAAAACACGGAATAGATGAGTGTGTTTGCAAGTTCATGGTGCAAAATAGAAGGGGATGGAAAAACCTCCTCAGATTAGTCAAAAACTGAGCTATCCCACTCTATACATGAACACAGTCATCTCCTTTCCTCTTTTCCTCTCTGCTTCCATCCACTCTGCCACAAAATCAATATATAAAGAACATCATCAGCAGCTTTATGATAGGCAATGATCCTTTTTGACATCAGTCTGTGACAAGATCGTTGATTCTCTATCTTTAAATTACATCATAGCTGTGTAAAATATGCAGTGATATCCAAAACGTGAACTCTTCACATCCGCTGTCGATACCTCAGCAAGATCCAGACCGCTGCCGCAGCAAGCGCCAGGCCTGGCACAAGAATGGCTGCTAGAGGAAGCCCACCTGATTCTCCATCGCCTTGATGACCCACAGGGCCATTCTGTGGCTGCAACTGCAAGGAAAAAAAAACATTTGTGTCAGAGCCCATCACAGGAGATCCCCCTGTTCAGCATCAGGACCAGGTGGTTCTGTAAGGATGTGCAAGATGATTTCCCCAGGTACCTGTACACTGCACACATGGGAGGGTTAGAACGGCTTTGGATGGACTGAGCTTTACTGCAGGGTACTCGGTCACTACCAGGCACCCTCATGTTTCTCTGCCACTCTGTAAATTAGGACCGTAACAGCTGGAGCAGGGTACGTCTCACACAGCAGAAGCAGTGACACGCAGATACCCCATCATCCCTTGATGCACTTCCCACCACGCCATTTCCTGGTGCCTTCACTAATTCTCTCTGTTTTTCTTACCTGCCCTGTACACTGGTCCAGAAGATTTACTCCTTTTATTAAGGGAGTAGAAAAGGGGCCTCAACCCACCTCTCCCCACCAGCTTCAGGCTGATCAGTATTTCCTTTGTCAACTTCAATGTTCAAGGATGTTCAAATTACAACAGTGGATTAAGGATTCCTCTCTTTCTATATCCAAAATGGTGCTAGTATATTTAAACTATAGCAGCCCACATTTGTTCCTTTGTGGTGAGCTGCGCATACACCTCAACGCTAACGCGAGTGACGACTTCTGAAACAACAAGAGAGTTTTGTCTCCAGTAAGATTTTGGCCTCTGAAACAAAACTGGAGAACTTGAGATTCTGTCTTCACAGACACACCTTTGCCTCTGAGAAAAGAGATCTGTGAGAAAACACACCATACCCCAGTAAAACAAAGACCTGAGGACTTCTCCAAACTCACCTCTTCGCTGATACTGTTACCAACAAGTAATGCATGGATGACCACAGCCGTGGTCAACTAGAGAAGGCCATAGTTCAAACAAAATCTTTATATGCATCATTCACACAGAGCACCTGGACATGCTATTTTTCTGCCTCATGAAATAGAGAGCTATCAATCATAGAAACCAGGCTCAACTGAGCCAGAAATAACCCTAAGAAACAGGTAAAACATACCCGGCGCTGAATTTTCAGAGACACGTCATAGCCTGCATTCCTGAACAGTTCCACAGCATCTTTGTGCCGCAAATCCTTCAAGTCTCTGCCATTGACCTAGCAAAAAAGGAAAAGAAGAACCAGTTGCTGAAGGGCAAAAAGCAAATTTTTAATGATGCAGGCTAACATAGGAAGGATAGGAGATAAAAATCCTCCTCTTTCACAAAATTCTGTATTTGGGGCATGATACTATAATCAGCAAGATACATATTCATCCATTCATATTACAGATGTATTTTTATATGTTGAGAGAGAACATGAGAAACTCCAAGCCAAAACACAGAGGTACTGAAAAAAACTACCTAGAAGCAAAATCTGAATATAAGAAGACAGTTGTGTCAAAAGCAGCTTCTTATGCTGTTGCTTTACTGGAAACAAATCAAAGGTATAATTCTGACAGCTAATGAAAATAAAAGAGCAGCTACAGCAAAATTATTATTATGAGTCTCTTTCCCACATTGTTCCCTCTACTGGTCTACCTTTGAAACCCTTCTGTCTGAAAGTGTTGTAAACATACATTTAAAAGCATACTGACGTCACAAAACAAAACAAGACAAGACTCACATACATACTGGCATCCACTTAAAAGTATTGGGATTTTTCTGAATTTAAAATAATATCTCATGGCAGAAGTTTTTATAACCTGCTTGACTTCATTCACTAACCAATAATATTCACCCTAGTTTTTCTTTTTCATCCCCATTGCCCCTAATTGTATTCCCTGAGATCATATCCAGTGCTTCCCTTCTCTTGATATTTAGACTCCCCAAACACAAGTACATAAATTTCAAACTGTCAAGATAAGATAGGATAGTATTCTCCATTTAACTTAATATCATTTTCTGGGTCAATAATAGGCTCCAACTAGGGCAAGGCACTCTACAGAGGCTAAAAAGATTACACGTGGAACATAATAAGCAAGTACAAAATAAAATTAAGGAGTATTAAAAGATCATGTATCACACTAGGAGAAGCTACTTCTTCACTCATCACTTTGTAAAGTATATTGTCTTGTATGACTGCCAACTATCTGAAGAACCAGGGGAACTGAACCTCAGTCACTTTAAAACATTCTTCTGAAAGGAGAAGCAGCCTGTATTATTCCTGATGAGCTGCAATGAACAGTTTTATGGCCTAGAAGTTTTATAGCCTAAAAATCTGCTTGAGTGCAAGGATCAGTAATCACTGACTACCAGTCAAAAAATGGAAACTTAGAGGTGGGAGGCTGATTCCTTTATTTACATGTGTGTAAATGACAATCCATTGTGGGCAACAGAAGGTCTGATGGATTCTAACACCTTAGGGAGCAAGTCACAGAGGAAATACAAACGCAGCACCAAGGAGTGCTTCTGAGACAAGTCAAGAAGGCAGAAGAGATGGGCCCATGTGTAGAGGCACTCATCTCCCTGGTGCTCAAAGCTGTCCCCAGACCCCCAAGACAGCTCCTTCCATGGAGTTTCCTCAGCATCATCTAGCTGCATTCATCACAACCTTCCTCTCTGGGCACTGCGATGGCAAACCTGCATCTCATATCACATCGCTGATCACAGCACTTCAAGAACACATGGGGCGACAGAAGAAAGGGCTTACCGCTAAAATTTTATCTCCTTCTTGTAATCGGCCATCAAGGTAAGCCGCCCCATCCTTTTTGATCCGGCTGACATAGATGCTGCTGTCATTGGAAATGTACTGCTGATCTGTCCCACCAACAATGTTGAAGCCCAGCCCTAAGGTAAGCCAAAGAGAAAGCTGATGAGAAAAAGCTCAAAGCTTCAGACATCATTGCTGTTGTTGGGGGCTGTACCCTCCCACATTGTCCTGTTTTCTCCACAATACTGAAACTCACGGCATATATATCTGCATTATTTTTTCCCACCATCACTGTCTAGAAAAGTTATCGTCATGAAACTCATCTTGAAAGCAGAGGAGAGACCCCAAATGCCTGAGGGCCCAGATGCTTCATTCCATAAAGCATCCATGAGCTGTTTTCAGGTGGGTGTTGCAAATACTGAGGGACACGCCATCATTTCTGAGATGCCAGTTCAG